GCCCGTGCCGGTGCCGGTACGGGATGGGTGATTGAGGTCGGGAGCACGGTTTGGTTGGTCGAGAACTCGGTTTGGTTGATCGAGGCCACGGTTTGGTTGATCAAGAACGCGGCGTGCTGCTACGGGGGGTGCTTGGGCGTGAACTTGGGCTTGTTGTGGAGGCCCTGCTGGTGGACGCATGGCTGAGTTGGCTCCGCTTGTTGATCTTGAGAAGCCACCATTTGGTGTTTGAGGATTTGGGGGAGTTGGGTTTTGAGGTCGCCCGGTAGGTACTGCCATGGGCTGTGGTAGCTTGACCGGAGGCCGGTTCTGTAGTTGGTTTTGAGTTTTCGCGGGAACCGTGTTTGGAGCGCTGTTGAAATGTCGTGATGACGCGGATTGGGGAGGTAAAACCACTTCATCTGGATGGGCATCTGGATCTGCAACACCAAAATCTGCTTCATCGAAATCTATACTATCATGAGAAACTTCAATCTAACATTGGAGAGCTGAAAGACCAACCTCCAAATTCATCATCAAATGTATCTTCAGATGCTGAATTCGATGGTCAGCTTTGTGTAATATAGGCAGATACGAAGACTTACTCAAGCTAGGTGTAATGGCCCCGGTTAGGTTTTTTGACTTCTCTTCAATAAGTTTGGGCACCTCCGGCTCCTTCTTGGCAGGCGTAAAGTCCGAATGTCGATGAAGCCTCTCAACATCCCACTTCGAAGGCGGAGCTTTAACCTTCGTAACCTTACCCAAATACTCCTTATCATAGATACAATTGCCAAGCACATTGCCAAAGTTCCTCAAAGCCCTCTTAAGCCCATCAGTCGTACCCTCCTTCTTGGCCTTCTCAAACGCCGCAGCTTTACCCTTCGCATTCTCCATATGCCCATACCCCACATCTTCATGAAACGTGCCATCTCTCAATGTAACCCTCACGATAACCGAAAGACCCAAACTAACTTTCATTGTCTGAGGATTCTCATCAACGAAATCAACCTGCACATCCATAATCTGACTCGACCAGCCATTGAAGCCGAAAACGTCGTTCGCGAGCTGTATGCATTTCTCCGCAGCAAGATAATAAACTTTTTGCCCTCCAGGACCTGCTCGTGATGATATATATTCGGGCCCGAGCTGTTTTTCGAGCCTACTTTGCAGGGTAGCGATTTCTTGGGCTGTGTATTCGGATATTCGGGGTTTTACTTCTTCGAACGGGTTTGTTATGGGTTTGCCTCCCGAGTTGAGATGCTGCTCTCCAGGTCTATCAGGGTAATATTAGCGGATGGCAAGAATTGAGGTTGTCAAAAGGCTTACGCAGGCATCTTGATGCCAATAATCTAGCAAGGAGAAGGAGATGGGATTGCGAGGGTTGGCATTGATGCCGCAAGTCGAGATGTTGACTCTAGTTGCTTGTCGCGTGAGCAGAGACGCGACGTTTATCAACAAAAACACGCTAAAGTTCCAGTCACGTGTAGCTTGCCCCTGAATTGCAACTTCCTTGATACCGAATCTTGTCTCACTCCTGATTTTCTTGATATTAACGCCTGGATGAGTATACATCCTGCCAACCCAATCAAGTTCGAGGAGCTCTTGGAAAGCCAACGCCTTGAGTTTTCTTTCATTTGCTATCATTTTCGCCTTCATTTTCTACAATCTGAACGGTGACCGAACAGCTCGATTTCAGCCCATAAAGCTACTTTGCTCTTCCCCCTGCTAAGTTTCTCGGTTTAATCATTAGGCAACTTTTGTATTTATCCATCTAAGCTTCCTCGAGCTCCTTGATAGCTGGAGTCGGTGGGAGGCTTGTTGAGGCAATGAACATGTCTTTGGGTCGCAAGTGCCCCTCTCAAAAAGAAGTATATTCTCAGACGCTGAACTACTTAAGGATATATGGGTCAAATAGTCTTCTGGGTATGGTTGGAAAGATGCAAGCACTAAAAAGAAATACTCAACGTTGTCTTATATACTGATAAAGTGTTTGGTATGGGGTCAAGTTATCACCAACGAGCTTTCGAATATTGCTCCTCATTGTGGCTGTCTTTACTTCTCTTTCTAACTTAATGCTCAGCAATTGGCTTTCAACATCAAACAGGCATTCTTTAGATGTTTCTAACTGGGTCTGTCTACGGACGCCACCAACAAGCTACAAGAGCGTGGAACCCAAAATGATGAACTTGTTCTCGCAGCGTGAGGCCAGCGTCGACCTCCTAGAATTGGAGATGCTGCCGCGCATAGTGCTGTGAATTATTGTGGCGGTCAGGACGAGGAGGGTGAATGGTTAGTTCTAGTCCAAGACTCGTGGCATTTACAGAGAAGTGCAGTCATGTACAGACAACAGTGATATCCCAACTTCCCCTACCTTCGTCTTGCTTCAAACGCCCACCACCACAAACTGCAACAATGTTATTCAAAGCCATCTGGCAACAGTATTTCCCATTCGGCTCACCCCCCTTCATCGAAGCAGACCTTGCACCTAGCGGCCAAGTGGGCAAAGTATTCATTATCACCGGCGCAAATTCTGGGATTGGGAAAGAGCTCACCAGATTCCTCTATCCCACGGGCGCAACCATCTATTTGCCGGCAGGTCTCAGGAAAGAATCAGCAAAACCATTTCAGAGATCGAGTCTACAGGTCCACCTCGTGTACCAGGAGAATTCTCAAATCACTCCACGGGCTTGATCTCAGCGATCTTCGAACCGTAAAGCCAGTCTTCGAGAGCTTCACACTACAGTAGAAGGCACTGCACATCATATGGAACAATGCGGCCACTGTTTGTGAACCGGGAACGTCGATAGTTCAAGGACATGAAGGGCATATATGAGTCAATGCAGTTGGACCCTTCCTTTTCACTACCCTGCTTGTGCCCTTCCTTCAAGCCGGGACAACGGAATCCGCTCAACCGTCACGCATCATCTGGACAGGATCAGTTCAAATTGAGGTGTGGTCGCCGCTTGGAGGCATTGACTTTGCAAATCTCGATAGCGGCAAAACTATCTCAGCATCCACCGACTACGGAGCGACAAAGTGCGCAAACCTCTTTCTCGCACACGAAGCTGCCGCAAGATGGGGAGACCAGGACATCATCAGCGTTTGTCATAACCCTGGAAACCTGCACACTAGCATTTTTGATGGCAGACATCATTGGCTGTTCGTTCTTATTCTTGAGAACATTCCTCCTCTACGACGCCAAATACGGTGCGTATACGATGATGTTTTCAGGATTCTCAGAGAAGATCACCCAAGCCCAGAATGGTTACTATGTGTGGCCGTTTGGCATCATAAAGCCCTGTGCGCGAGCGGATGTTTACAAGGCAATCGATGAGGGGAGGGCGAAGCAGTTCTGGGAATGGTGCGAGGAGAAAGCAAAGCCATTCATGTGATTATGGCTACTACGCGTCGTGGGCATAAGCTACTCTCCCAACCAAGAGAGACTACTTTTCAATCAGACCAGGGAGGCCAAGGCTTTACATCGTTTTGCGGCATATCACTTAACAAAAATAATTTGCAATTACATCCTCTCACTCAAGCATCAACTGCTGTCTTTTCACAACAAACAGAAAGTGACAAGTACGCTTCGGTATTCCTACACACAATAATAGTATATGCTTGACCCAACTACACACATAATCCCTTGCTCAACCCCACCCCAAAATACTCATTTTCTCACACGCAACCCTCCATCCCATCCACAATCAGCCTCTGCCCCCTCCGGCTGCAATTCCTTTCTCAGCACCGAATATTCCACCCTACTCTCCCACGCATCATTCCTCGTGACCAAACAGCTATGATACCCATTCAAATCCGTATGATGATAATACCCCAACAACTCCTCCCCAAACTCCGCTTTCGTGCCATTGCCGTTGCGGATAACGCAGTTGTTGGCGTCTTTCAGGTCCATGTATATCCATTCCACAGTCCGGCTGTTGTGATCGTCGACGTATCTGTTGTCGGAGAAGGAGCGTAGGACGCAGTAGATGGTATGGGAGGATACTGGTGGCGGTTTGGGGAGGTTGGAGGGGGAGGAGGATAACCATTTGTTGAGAATGTAGGTTGTCATTGCAGGGATAGCGATGGGTAGTGGATGGATCATGGCGGAGCGAACGAGCGAGCGAACGTTGAAGATCTTTAGATGAGTGAGAGGTTTGAGGTTTGGTTGTATAGGTATAGAGAGTTGGATATTGAGAATTGCATAGGTTAGAAAGAAGAGAAAGGAATAAATCTAGAAACGAGCTAGGTTTTGCACTTGCGCAAGAGGGTATTCACATTTTCGAAGTACCTCGCGTCCAACTGTACGTACAAGTAACTAAGTTTAGGAGCTGGAGTGAATAGACCTGCTGATTCAACTTAAGCAATGAGGTGTCCAAGTCCGACAAGCGGGATTATGTGAGAGAGAAGTAGATCAACGATGGTATATATAAATATATACATGTGAATGGAGGTTGTTTGCCCCTGATTTATATTCTCGCTTGCACGCAGAGCGTACGCAGTCGCTCATTTCTCTTTTCAAAAGTTGCTATCGAATCAGTAATAGGAATCTCTCCTCATCCATCCCCAAGATCCTTCAGCAAAGCCCCTACCTCTAACTTCTACTCTACTCTAGTATTAGCAATTATTCATTTCGAAATCAATTATCAAGAATAGCCTACCTTAGGGACACTCATTTCCCTCAATAATCTTCTCCCGCTGACCATTCCCCATCAGAATCTTGGCCCTGACCCTTGTCTCGCCCACCATTCCATTCATCGGGTGAATCAAGATCCGATCCAGGAGGCTCTACATCCCATATACGAATGGACACCTTTGCCGCATCTCCCTCTCCAACATCACTAGATGACCACCAAAGAGTACCGTTAACTCGCGTACCGTGCTTGCAGCGCTCCGTAGCGCTATATTCGACTCCAACGAAAGTCCGGAGGGCGTTGTTTGCGTCTTGCAATGTGGAGTAGACCCCGTGGTAGTCAGTGTCGTGGTCGTCATACTGCGGCCAACTGTCGACTTCGAGGACGTAGATTTTCTGTAGGTGGAATTGGGGTTTGGCTACGGGGGTTGGGTCTGCCATGTTAGGGCCAAATGAGGCTGGTCTTTTCAGGTTTGGTAGATCGCTCGTGGAATTCCCCGCTGCACTGCTGGTTCGCTTGTGTGATACTGGATGCGGGATTTGGGAAGTAGACATTGTCGATACTAAGAGGCAATCACCCGTCTTGGCTTGAAATGGGTAGGGATACAGCCTCCTGGACTGGAATATAGGTGAGAAATGTTTGAGAGGTAATAGGTCTAGGGGATAGTGGTTGCGTAGAGCCAGACTGAGGCCTTTTATATATGGCATTTTCATAAGCGGGAGTATATAAAACGTAATAGAGGCTGCTAAATGAGATTCCGAAACTTAAGAGGTCGCACCTATTCCTTTCAAGACAAAAGTGAAACGAAACGAGACTAGAGGTTTATAAGCATGTTTATAGAAGAGATAAATGCTTTAAATCCCAAACAGAAAGATCCCAGTCCTAAATATCGGGAGCATATTGGCTCACATCTATAGCCGGATCAAGCATCGACAGACTCATCATCAGCATCGATAGACTCGTCATAAGTATCGAAAGATTCATCATCAGTATTTCCCCCTCCACTACCCCAATCACAAATAGTTTCCGAACCTGGTGGCTGGAGTTCAAACGATTTGACATACAAACGGACCGCTTCTCCCTCTCCAGCATCGTATGTAGTCCACCGCCATGATGGTGCTGTACAAAATTCTTGGCTTTGGACTTTGGAGAAAAGTACTTGTAGATAATGGGTAGTGTTTCTGAAAAGTGAGACGGATCAGGATCCAATGATCCGAGCGGAAGCGGAGCAAGAATAAAAGATGGGACCACCTCGTGACTTATATAGATCGCTTTAAAGAGTGGAAACGGATAGAACGCTATGGAAACTCATAGCAGGGATGCTGAAACACAATATGTCGCGTCAAGCTATCCCTTTTGAGGCACAGCATATATAAAACTTAATAATGGAAAACACTAATTTGATGGTCGGAGAGTCAAGAAGTGAAAATCATGACACGCGTTCGTACTCTTGGTGCAATAGTCTAGCCATAATTGGAACTTTGCAAAGGCTGTATAAGTAGTAAACAAGATGTGGGTATAAATGATCAAGGAACATAGAGAAGGGCTCTCCAAAACCTACTGAACGCATCAGTATGTATCAAGATGAAGATACCAAGCTTCTCTGCATCGCCCATCTCACTTACCCCTCACCTATCCCCAATAGACTGCATGTCTCTTCACTTGGCACTGGCCCCGTTGGCTCTGGCGCAGGCTCAGATCCAGACATCTTCACCTCACACTCCTTGATAGAGACACGAACACCAGTCGACAAACCTTCATAATCCTTGACCCTCCACATGTTACGCCCGCCATCAAAGGACACCTCGACATCCCAGCCTAGAGCATCACCATATTCCTCCCATTCCCTTCGCACCCTGTTATTTGCATCCTCGAGCTCCTCGTATAATTCTAGGACTTCCTCTTCGTGTTCTTCTGGGAAGTATGGGATGCAATGTCGAGGAGGCGTCTTGTATATCACGGCGTAGACATGTCGAGCCTTTGCGGAACTGGATCTAGTTGCGGAGGTTTCTTCCACTGATCCACCTGTTGAAGCAGACCTAGAGCTTTATTCCAGTATCCTCCCGATGCGGCAACACACGCTTAGAGATGAGGTTGGAGACATTGACGCGGTTGACGCGTCAGACAGACGCGAGGGTTTTAGCCCCACTTATCTCACTTCGTATTCCTTTCTTTGTTCCTAGTGATTATACCTTGGAAACAGTTGTTGATTCTATTAGTCCTTATTGTGCTCACCAATGTCTTCCGCATAGTGTTTAGTGTCTTTCTCTGTATCCTTGTTCAGCATCTTCTTCCAACGTCATTTCACGAAAAGTGCGAATTAGCAGATGGTACTTCCCTTATTTGGCCTATGTTTCTTGGGATCTATAGCTAAAATGCTATTCTTTGTTTCTATTTTTTGCAGTAGCTTGACTCGTCCATATTCGTTCACATCTGCTTTCAAGTAAAACAGTCGAATTGGCGGTACCTTTATCTCATCGGATTTTCTCATTTCATCGGCGTTAAATTACCTCTGGTTGCTTCGCCGAAGTATCGTTGGTATTTCTGCTTCTTTAAGTGCTGCAATTCCGTCTTTCCTGAGTAGATGTATTGCAAGGAATTTCACTATGAAAAGCATAATCTTGCAGACCTCCGCATGTCTTTACTACTTCCACGATTATACGAACCTCTATAGACCAACGAATACTTCTTGACTTTCATTAACATTATTTAATGGCGGACTAAATTTTCTTTGAGTTTCTAAAATCTGAATGGAGGGTGTAAGTATTATCAATTTATCATCCGAGGAAATGCTACAGTACACCGAAATCTTGACCAATTATGAGATACTACTCCTCGTGCTTGCATGACCATTCCTTTTGCATCTCAAAAATCATCAGAAATCCATCCTGCCAAGCTATCCCGGGCCCATCCAAAAAACATTATCCAAAACCTAATATGCTCTCAATCCCATCTCCAAAACATCTTGATTCTCCTGTCTCCCGCACTCTTAGATGGCGAAGCTGTTGCCGCAGCTCCAGTCGAACTGGCACTCGGGGATACAGAAGATGAAGACTGAATATCACCAGTTCCCGAAGTTCCATTGGTGCTATAAGACGTCGTAACATCTGCAAATCCGTCTGAAATGGCCTTTTTGCCTAGAGCACGTCGGAAGAACTCGAGAGAAGCCTTAGGCTGATAGTAGGGGATCTCGTGGCCAGACTCATAGATGCGCGTGAAGGAGAAATTGCCATGTTGTCGAACTTTGCCGTATTCGACGTTATCCACCATGAATGGTGAGTAGGGCGCAGCGCGGAAATCTGCGCTGTGCGTGTAGTTCACTTGCATCGATACAGCTTCGCCGCCAAACCACTGGGTAGTCATTAGCATGAGTACGATAAACGGCGGGAGCGGGCACATACATTACAGATGTAATCAGCATCGCCGTAAAAGAGGGCAACGCGGACATTTTTATTCAAGAGGTCCTCAAGATCGTCCATCATTGTCTCAAAAATGAAGTCGCCGGTTAATTCAAAGTTCACACCAACCGTATCGCTTGAATCGCTAGTGTAGTTCATATTGACACCCAAGGCATTTTGTGTGCTGTCCAGATTCAGAAAGTCGACAAAATACAGGGGTGGGTCAGGCTCTTTTCCTGTGTAGCGAATGTCATAAGTACCACGCCCACTGACATCGTAGTAAGGGTATTCGACCTTATATCTGCAGATTGCCTCAGCCAATCTGCAATTTTTCAGACCATCTGGGGAGGTTTTATTCGCACTAGCGCTGCAAGCATCAATTTTGTCTCGGCATTGACCCGGATCATAGTAGGCGGCTTTCATTTGGGAGTAAACGGTATCATTTACTGCTTTAATGCCGTATGTATTATTGACAGCGAATTCGGGGTAGTATGGGGCTTGGATTTTCTCGTCGATGATACCATTGATAATGCCAAGAGTATCCTGATCCAACAAATTAGCCTAGTAAAACTAAGTGATGAGCGAGAGCCGAGCCTGGGAGCTGCCTCGGGACCCGACATGTAGGTTCCTGAAACAGCTCTCAGCCCCTCAGTTTCTATAGATAAGAACAGCTTTTTTGTTTGAGAATAAGCCTACCATAACAAGCTGGGTGCCATTTTGCGTTCCATTGGCGATTGCAGCGTTCTGGTCCATGAAATGCGAGTAAAATGATGGCCCATAGTGGCCTCCGTACGACTCGGTCCATAGGTTGAATGTTTTGGAGGTGATCTTTGAATCTAGCTTCGGAAGGTTGGCGAGGAAGCCTTGCAAGACGTGCCATGCAGCGACAGCAGCTTGATCGGTCGTGCCAACTGCCGCCGCGGGGTCAAGCTCTGAATATCTAGTAAAGAGTCAGCAGCCATTTTATTAGCTGTTCCATATGTGACTTACGTTCCAGAGCTGTCTGAAGACTTAAAAGAGTAAGAAAACCCAACACCGATAGGCTGCGAAAGAAAGAGCATATTCGACACTTCGTTCCATGCATAGGGGTTAAGCTGCGTCTTCAACTCTTTCGTCACGTTACACGGTCCAAGTTCTAGCTTCTCTTTAGTGATTGTCATCCTACTCTTGTACGAATCAAAGCTCACCCTGAAAGAACGCAATGAGAGAATCGGAACCAGGTCCTCCATTCAACCACAACGTCAAAGGTGCGTTTGCTGGGTCTTTTCTTGCCTCCACGAAAATAAAGAACATATGGGTTGCATTATCCAGATCCACATATCCCGAATATTCGTTCACACCTGGCATTGTCTCACACATTCCAGACCCCCCAGGCTGCTTGTAGCGAATCGTCGCGCCACCGGGGGATGTGATGACCTTCACATCGGTAGCATTTGCTGGACGGCCCCTGGGTAAAAGGTCGAAGGCTTTCACCGCGCAAAACAAAGTTAAGACATAAAATAAATGCATCTTTGGATATGTCGCAAAGTTACTCCGGATTTTGAGTTGGGAAATACAAAAGGTTCCAAGAATTCCTTTTTTAGGCAACTATGCCAATTTATTGAGTCAGGATCAGGAACATCAATGAATGTGCCGCTGCTTGGCAGTGGGGCTGTATAGAGGCTGAGTGTGCGCTGGGGGTTGACGGACGTGTTCAAGGAGGCATATTCAATATAAATAGACATGAAACTTGAAACATCCTCAATATTAAAACTGCCAAACGCCGGAAACTTTTTCAGGCTTCTAAAAACACAACAAAATTCTTCAAAGCTGCCAAGTTACCACTTATAAATCACCCTAAGGCCTCACTGAGACTTCAGCGAGAAACCCCACCCCGCAGCATCAGCCAAGGTACTGCGGCTCAGCCTTGAGGTACGCCCTACAAACCTCAGCTTGGAATCCCAGGCCAGGTTAACGCTAACGCTAACGCTGTCGGCGGAGAAGCACGAGTGCGGCGGTTTCCTACCTAATCAATAAACCTCTCCGTATTGCGGATGCTATTGTTATTGGACTCCACTTGAACAGGTGATTAGCCGGTGAAGAAGAGAGAAAGACAGAGACGGTCGGAATAACCTCAAGAGGGCCAACTTACGCGCTACTCCCAACTAGGCCTAACACATGATTCGAGATTGGAGCTAGTAGCCTTCACTATGCTATCTCCCTCCTTCTCTTCTTAAAAGCACTCCCTTTGAAATTCAAATCTATTATCAATATGACTCGCAAAGTACCTTTCGGAAGCCGAATGCGAGATGCGCACTTCTCTTTCTCGCCCTCCTACACTCCCCTAAACCACGGCTCATTTGGCGCATTCCCACGTCCAGTTGCGGAACGACAAAACGAGCTTCAACGACTCGCTGCAGAGCGTCCAGATACTTTCATCGTGACAGACCTTCCAAATCTGATCGATGAATCACGGGAAGCAGTTGCGCCCTTGTTGGGAGTGCCCGTAGACGAGGTCGTATTTGTACCCAATGCAACGACGGGTGTCAATACCGTTATGCGGAATCTGAAATGGGAGACGGGAGATGTGATTGTGCATTTCAGTACTATTTATGGGGCTTGTGAGAAGACTATTGCTAGTATTGGGGAGATGACGCCGTTGGTGCCAAAATCAATTCTCTTAGAGTATCCAGTTGAGGATGCAGATATTCTGAGGAGGTTTAGGGAAATGGTGAAGAAGGTGAGGGGCGAGGGTGGGAATGTCAGAATTGCCATGTTCGACACCGTTCTAACGTTCCCTGGGGCTAGGATGCCGTGGGAAGAGCTCGTCAAAGAATGCAAGGAGCTTGGTGTGCTCAGTCTCATTGATGGTGCTCATGGCATAGGGCATGTCGATTTGATGCATTTGGGGAGCGTTGGTCCCGATTTCTTTGTGAGCAATTGTCATAAGTAAGTTCAAATCAATCACTCATCGTAACTGGAGCAATGGAATAGGGTGGCTGGGGTAAGTTCCAGGCTGAGATGAATCAGGTGGCTCTACACTCCTCGTGGCTGTGCAGTATTTCATGTGCCGGTTCGGAATCAACATCTGATACGAACTTGCCTACCCACATCTCACGGCTATCACTTCCCAGAAGAAGTACCTGATCCAGATGAGAAGTCTCCATTCGTTCACCTCTTTGAGTTCGTGGCCACAATTGACTATACTCCGTATGTCTGTGTCCCTACAGCAATCGCGTTCCGGAAAGAGTTCTGTGGTGGCGAAGCTGCAATCCGTAAATACTGCTGGGAGCTCGCGCGTGTTGGCGGAAACCGAGTGGCTGAGATTCTTGGAACAAGCACCATGAATAATGCAACCAAGACGCTCACCAATTGCTGCTTTTCCAACATTGAGTTGCCGTTGACCTTCAAGCGCGATGGAAGTCAGAAGCAGAAAGGAGAGTTCGAGATCGATGAAACATCGAAGATTCAGAAATGGCTGAATGCAACGGCTGTCAAGGAGTTTGATACCTACCTGCAAATTGCTTTTCACGCCGGAGTCATGTGGGTAAGACTGAGCGGACAGATCTATCTCGAGCTAAAAGATTTCGAGTGGGTTGGCTCCAAGCTGAGGGTCCTCTGTGATAGACTTACGACTGGGGAGATTAAGCTGTGAATATATGTCACTAGATGTTGTCAGTACGTTCCTACGGGCAGACTCCTGCTGAGGAGTAAAGAAGTGGTAGGGTACCCCGCTTGTGGATTATGAAGGGTGAAGCTTCCCGTTCAAGGCGATGTACCAATGGATGTCCATCTCATAAGATCTATGGTTCTTCATACATGAGGTTGCTTGCAGTTTGTACAGCATTAGATCAGCTGAGTCACCAACTTCCAAGATCCAAGCTCGTGTACAAAAACCGATGATTTCATTTTTCTCGAGCATAACGGAATGCTGTAGAGCTACCAGGAAGCATAAGAGATGGTTCTTTAAAAGAAAGACATCCGGCGACAGTCCGCAGAAAACTCCAAGATCTCATATTCCCGCATCAATCCAATATTTCCTTCGATCTCAGACTTGCTTCCCCAATTGCTATCAAAACGTCCTTGGATAATGCCTTCGTCGCCCGCTTCAGTCCCAACTCCACCAGATCCTTCCGCTCTCGTATCTCCAGCCGAAGACATCCCGGCAGCTGGGTTCTTTTCCCTCTCCCTCGCCCAGTATGCCTCACTCAAAGCTCTGATCTGTTCATCGGGAGTGGGTGACGGTGATTCGGGCTGAACATACCTTTCCGTTGGCTCGTACTCGTAGCACTCGCAGTTCAACAGCAGAGAGGTGGAGCAGAACGAATTTGGCGCCACGGCTTTACAGTTCTCCGCATAGCAAAGTGGAATGGGCATTGGACAGCAAGGGCAATCATTGAGTAAGCCTGGGGCTAGACAGCGGAATAATGCAACCTGTTTCTCGGATGTTAGAGTTTGGGCGTTATTATGGGAAGGGTGTAAGGATCACTTCATCGCCCATGCAGTCCGCGTCTTTACACCAAGGTTTTATGGCCGGACAATTCTGTTGTTCTTTTCCCTGCTCTTGGGACTTATTGCTTGATTCGGTGCTGATTTGTGTCTTAGTGGAACAGTTATTGATAATCTTGGTACGATATCTGAGATTACAGATGGGAGAGGAGCACTTTGAGCAGCCGAGGATGCGCGAATGGAGAAAAAGAAGAAGGTTGCGAGGGTTTTGTACAGGCCAATGTTCGGCATTTCGTAATGCTGCCGGCGATACAAAAGGGCTGTTACCTTGAGACTTGGAAGAAGAAAAACGCAAGGAATTTATTGTATTGAAGTACGTTAGGTACCTTCAGGTATGTTGTGTTGGTGCTTCAAAGTGGCGACCTCGAGGGTGTTGGTTTGTGGCGGGGTATACACCGCCCACCCCTCCTTAGCAAGATTACGCGACAGGAAGATATTAGCGAGCCAAGCACTAATTCTTCAGGCTTCTACGAGTACGAGGTACACATAGGTACCTACACCTACCTCCTTCCTACCTACCTACCTTACAATCCGACGCCTTCATTGCAACACCTCTACAAATGGCGATAACACACCAGTTCTTTCGATAGCATTCAAATTATAGCCTGATATATCTTATATATCCCTATATAAATGCGTCACGCAAATCCTACTTGTATCTGTGCAGGGCCACAAGTCTCATGGCAAGAAACAAAGGAAATGGTAATTCGTAGGTCTTGACACAGAAACCTATCGATGCCTCATACTATTGCACGGCACTGACTCCGAATATACGCCAATCTACACATCCATTCGGAGTGCTCTGTTTCAACAAGCCACCATTCTTAGCAGTTGACGTGTCGGTATCACCTGCAAGGTCAGTTTCTACCATGTTTCGAAGGGATAAACACAACTTACAGCCATCTAAAAGCATATAGAAAATATCTTTAGAGTCTTGCGTCTTAGGGATATCCCAATCTTGTTTCGGCTGGCAATTGGTCTGGTCATCCGAAAACTGTACACTGGTCTCGATATATCGATTCCAACCATCTGTACACCCCTTTTCTCCTTTTCCAACCCACCATCCATCCGCACCTCCGCCATCAACAGCGGTACTCATGCATAATATTCCGCTACTATCGAACCAAAATCGATCGCCTGCCCACCCACCTTCATGAGTCGGGTCGGAGGTGTACTTGGGGCTGTCAGTTCCACATACATGATCTATTGAAAATGATCTTTGGATGGGGATATTAGCATTTCTTAAATTTCAACCGAGGAAGGGGAAGCATACCCCAAGTCGCGTGGGAAAGGTAGGCTACCTTTCGGGGCGCCTGTTGGTCCGTAACATGTCTTGTTGCCGGCGGGGAGTGAAGGTGTAGGTACCGGTGAAGCTGGTGGAGCCACATAGCCTGGCATTTTTGTAATATCTCCACCCCATATATCTTTCAGTATGTCCTGGCCAGCTTGAATGAAGTCGGAATCGGATGGAAGGGGAGGCTCATCAGGGTCTATGTTTACATCGACCGGATCGTACCCTGGGTCTGGTTCACACGGACAGCCGTTCTCTTGGTTGCTATCACTCTTGCAATACTCCTTTGGTTGCGGACAGTCACAGGGGCCTAGATTTGTTTAGGTCAGAAATGCCAATTAATAGGAGGGTAATTTTCAATTGGATCTTGAGAACTTACATCCAATTTCGTTGCCACTCAGGCACAGGCCAATAGTATCACTTCCACCACAATTACTGCAAGTCTCTTTCGGGTTGAGTTTATATGTAGGATCATCCTTCTCCCCGCCTTCTGGCTCATCTGAAGGGGGCTCGATTTGGTTAATTGCTTCCACTGAGCCAGCCGAGGCTTCAAAGAAGAATTATTGGTTAGTAATCTCTTGAATAAATGTCTTGTTTGACTTACAAGCTGCCCATCATGCAACACCACCAGCAAAGACAACAGCCACAAATGTTTCAGATCCAGCATCAGTGGTAGTTGTCGAAGCCTGAGTAAATGTTGATGTGGTATTAATATCGGTCGTAATTGTTGTAGAGGCTCGGAGATTTGTATAGTTGGAGAAGGTCGTTGCAGAATACACCACTGTTCCAGTATCACCACTAACTACAGCAGTCGAAGTGATGAGCTGATTTGTCAAGTTTGCAGAAGAAGTAGCATTAGCATTCCTGGTTGATGACGGTTGTGCTGGAGGTAGAGATGGTGCTGAAGTTGAGGCTGGCGCTGAAGCTGGAGCTGGAACATCTTGTCTAATCATCAAGCATGAAACTAAACTCCCGCACACCAACAAACATTTGAGTAACGAAGTCGCCCTCATGAGGAAATTGTGATCTGTTCTGAGAGAATATTTCAAATGTTTTGAACTCGAGACTAACACTAAGGCTATAAGTAAAAGCGCACAAAGCGGGAAATCCACAATTTAGTAGGTCAAAGAGCGAGTCTGTATGATTGAAAAGTGGTGAAAAGCAAGATCACAGAATGAAGCATGCGAAGTCTTAACTATCTGCCTTTTGGATTGTTTAAACGAGTTGGCTGGTCTAAGAATAGTGCTGCTTCATGGAAGTGAAGGATGACTTCCCGAGTGTTGTAATTGCTGACCTCGTCAATGAACAGCCACAAAGGATTATTTGAAGGTCATATGGGCAGAAGCTGATATGCTATAAATTAGCTGATTCGTTCTAAGGGAGGTGTGAAGGAAGTAAAGTAGAATGCTACATATGATACGAAGTACATGAAATTCGAAACAAACACCAACACTAACACCAACACCAACACCAGCAATTCAGGGTACAATTCTACAGCCCAGAACTTCCTGGAACAAGAATCCTTCAATATTCCATCTCAACCGTTTGTCAGCCTGCGGACCAGTCTTTAACCGCTCGATTTCCACGTCGCGGTGTTTCTTGACTTTAGTAGTAAGCTTCCGCAGGGGGACCCAGACTCGTGTTTTTGTCCATGTTGGATTGCGTTGGGATCAGTCACGGGCTATGAAGTGCCATCCAGGCGGTACTAAGGCACGGTCTGACATCGTTCTCAAGAACAACGCCGACAATTGAAAGTACTCGCGCACCTTAGCTCATTTCTCTTTGGATGTACTGACGCACACTCATCCACGAAACACAAGACCAACACCAACACCAACTTCAACGTCCATAGAATGCGGCTTAGCGAAACTCCCAGAGACCCTGTGAGAACTCCTCAGTGTTTGTTCCACGTACAAGTCCGAGTTGGAAACGGAAGACTAGGCCATAGGAAGAGGCTGAGGGAACCGCCGGGAGATCATCCCAACATTTCGTATTGTCCATTTAGCTTAGTCCAGGTTCAATACTTGTATCCATTCACAAAGCGGGAAGGAGATTCAATGTTCAATCACTCCAATTGGAACGTTTAAGAATCCTAACCATGCCATCTTAAACTCTTCTACGATAGTATGTATGTACAAGACTGCAGAATGAAAGAATAGAGGAAACCACATGAGAGAACCCTGGGAGTTGAAATAATCAAGCGGCACCACAAGGAACAAACTTTCTGACAAGATTTACTATTTCGGGACATTCTTCCTTGAATATATGCTCTGTTATAACTCCACCCGGTTAAAAGATCTTACTTAAAGCATCCGCAATCCGCTCCAAGTTCACTTGTATATATCTCCACAGCAAAGTGTCTTCAAGTCATTGCTCCGCCTAGCTTCCCATATTTCAGTCGGCCATCTTCAGTCTCTCAGTCATTACTTACCGCAACTATTTATATAACAATTTTTCCGTCGACTAGACAGGGAATACTTTGCCCCTGTTAAGTTAGATTTCTCCAAGCTAGTTAGCCACCCACCTACTTGGACTTTGAAAATCTAGTGATAACCACACTCTGAACTACCATGACTACTTTGTTATTGCTCATTCATCTTCTGTCCGTCTTTTTGGCCACTTCCGTTGGTGCTAAGGGAATACATTTTAAAGCATGTAGTAAAGATCAGGAAAACAGACTGACACAAGCACTGAGCGACGCAATTGAGATGGCACAAAGTAAGCCCCCATAACTCCTATTATCTCTCCGGTTCCCCTCCTAAACAGTCATTAGCAGCAAGAAATAAATTAAAAGAAAGTCCTATGAAAGATACAACAGAGGGACCGTGACGAGCTCTTTTTGACGCTAAGGATGTTTACTATGTCACAGGTTAGACCCATATTACCTTCCCTTTTGCTCGGTATGTTTGGCTATACTAATTGCTTTTGCAGCGGGGAATTTCCAGGAAGTCATTGCAGCTCAAAGTAAGGACAAAGAAGTCAATATATATTGTACCGGCGACAATATAATTTGGGATAGCCGTATAAACCTTTGGGTAGACAGCGATTTCTTCGGCCAACCCCCGATTTTCGATCAAGTAAAGATTCCTGTCGGTGGCGCAAACGATAAAAATCAAGTCATAGTTAATGGTCAAAGAGATATCCATCCAGATAAGAGTTAATGTTTCCAGCGTATAAAATAAGTTGAGTTGAGTTGAGTCCAGACATGGATTCTACTCAACTCAACTCAAGCCTTAAAAAGCTATGACTCAACTCAACTCAACTCAACTATACTTAAGTCGAGTTGAGTTTTATGGATACGCTGAATGTTTCGAAGTTACCAGCCAGATCTGGATCACGCTGTGGAATAGTGTCGAACTCTTGGGTCAGCTAAATCCTGCAAATTCGTTTGCATTAATTTTACAACTTAAGTCTACACAATCCAATAAGCTTATCTAACATGAATAATCCAAAATTACCCGCAAACTAATATACAAACAAAAGAATTGGATTTAAGCTTTAAAGTAGGCGTTCTCTTCCCTCCTTAATAGCTATACTAGGGAAGACCATTTTACTACCTCTTTAATGGCTGAGCCTATATCTTGTGCGAGATCCTCAACTATCTTCCCGGCCCTTCATTAGCTCATCCCCGACGGCTCTGATTTCCTGCCTCTCGATTGCCGCAGCATATCCTTCTCCAATATCATCATTATCCTTCCAATCGTAAAACATAGACCCATACCTATTAACGACATCCTTATATTGACTTCGGGGAATGTACGTAGTAGTCTTCAGAGAGACTGCGGAACTTGTGATTGGCGTCCTCTAGCGTCAAGAATGCACCGGCTATCTCGACTCCACTACCCCACTTGGAGAAGCTTTCATCGATCTATAACAATCCAAATAGCCCGAGTCTTGACCTATATATTTAGGCTCAGGCATGATCCTCCCCTCGCAGTAAAGCAGGATGCGTTTCCTTACTTTGGAAGCCATTTCTGCTTGGAATTCCTTCTGATACTCAATACGTTCCTCCGCTAGCCTGGTCTCGCAACTCTTGTTGGTACAGTAGCGTTCTTCAGCTTCTTCGTACCGACTCAAGGTCTCTACAAGCTCTAATGTGGCAGCATCACTAATAACTCGGCTCTCAACAGTAGCATTCTCAGGGTCCTACTGTTTAGCAGCACGAACCTTGGGCCCGGGGGTGGGCAATTGCCCCTCCAGCCTGTGCGAAGTCCCTCTTTTCCCTTTCCGCTTCCGCTTCCGCTTCCGCTTGTGATTCATACTTCTCGCGCGTCTCTATAAAATCCAAACCGTTTAGGAGCTCCTCACAAATGCTAGGAATATCTATCTGTCTCTAGAGTATAAATCAGACTACTGTAGCTGGCCTTGAATCATAGGACATACATGCACGGAATTCCTATACTGTCTGTCTATCTGTCGCGTCAGTTAAGATGGTCTTAAATGCATGAAAGGTATTCTTTCAAAGCACTTGTATCCCGAGAACTCTCAGTCTAGTGTTTCGTCCCTATCCTGTCTAGATTTCATTAAGTGGTCTTTATTGCAAGTGGGGTAAACGTTCCCTTTCCAAGCAGGGGTCGTCGATTACTGCAGGCAAAAAGCTAGGTGCGTCTCTATCAACACCCTGTACAACCACCCAACCCCACCCCCACCTTCTCTTCTTCCCCCAACTACCTAGGTACCACCACGCCCTACTTAATACACGACCCGATCCGACCTCACCCTTTCCCAATGTCAACCTCAACCTCACTCCGCCATCTAACCCGAACCCTCAAGTCCCGTTCCCTCACCCTCCCAACCACAATCCTTCTCTTCACACAACCAAGAGCAGCAAGAACAATGGCCACCTCGACTCCCCCAGCCCCAGCAGCAGCAGCAGCCGCGAAATGCGAATGGCTAGTAATAATCCCCGACCAGCCCGGAAAATTAGCAAAGAGAGTTGAAATCCGCCCGTTTGTCATCCCCTCACTTTCCCCCAATCCCACCCAAGCAATAAATCTAACCCCATCCCGAACCCCAGAAAACACTTCCAAGGCCTAACACCAAAAATCGAATCCGGATTCTGGAAAATGGGCGGTTTGTTTCCCCCCCCCCCCCCCCCCCTCTCAATTCTTTTCTCCTTCTCATGCAAAACCACAGGC